CTCGATCCCAGGACCCTGGGATCATGACTTGAGCTGAAGGCAGTCGCTTAACCAACTGAGCCACCCAGGCGCCCCAAATTGGGAGTTCTTTCCTGCGACAGTCTGCCTGAACTTACATATGGGAAAGGATGCGATCACGAAAGTACAGCTGACTCACTTTCCACAGGCCAACAGCCGTGTAGCCAGCAGCATCCAAATCCAGGAACAGAAACCTGACCAGCATCACTGCCCCCCTCTCCAGGGCACCCATTACCCTGATTCCTCACAGCACAGGATGTCTGTTTTTGTTAGTCTTTTTTGCTAGTCTGTCAAGTGTATATAACTGAAGTCAGATAGCGTGTATTTTTTTATACCCTTCTGAAGGTCTTTGTTTAAAACAAATTTAAAGAAGTAAAACTAACAAAAATACTAGTGGAGAAAATAGGCAATTGGGAGGAATAGGGGAAACAGGCAAAGAGGGAAAGGGAGGAGGGAAGAATGTTCCAGAACGGCATTTTTGGTACACTCACTTGTATACACTTTATAACATACGCTTTTGAATACGCGTGTCTGTATCTGTGTGTGTCTGACGTCTGACTACAGCTTAAATTCATTAGGGCAAAGACAGAGTTGTTCTCTTCCACCTAAATGGTGCTTACCTGTCGTGATGAAACATCATATCCCTTATCCCTTTCAAGCAAGACGTTTCCCTCTGGGTACACTGCAAGAGGCAGGGCCTCTCAACTGCTTACCTTCTATAGCAGACCATCCCAGTCATCCCAGGAGAGTCTGCACAGCTCGCCGGAAAGCCATCCCTATCCGGCTTCAGAGCTGTCTGAAGAAAAGTCTTGGGAAAATTGTGAAAGGGTATATACCGGTCATTACCAGGGGAGTGAGCAGGGCTGAAAACCGACCATTTTTTCCTGGTAGGGGGAAGGAGGAGGTCTGATTGGGAAGGGCCAATCCCCGGACTTTGGAAGGCTCCAATTCTTCTTCTTTTTGTTTAATTTAAATTTAATTAGTCAATTTCTAGTACATCATCAGTTTCAGATGTAGTGTTCAATAATTTATCAGTTTCATATAATACCCAGTGCTCATCACATCACGTGAGGAAGGCTCCAATTCTTTTTTTTTTTTAAGATTTTATTTATTTATTTGAGAGAGAGAGAATGAGAGAGCACATGAGAGGGGGGAGGGTCAGAGGGAGAAGCAGGCTCCCC